GGGTGACCTGCTCTGGGTGGTCCTGCCCTGGCAGGGGGGTTGGACTGGGTGATCCTTCGAGGTCCCTTCCAACCCCTGACATTCCGTGATACTGTGATTCTGTGGTCACCCACAGTTTGTCTCACGTCACGCAGCTGCCATCCCGTTACTGGCTTCCTTCCTTTCCCTGTTTATTGTGGTGATTTTTTTAAGTGAAATATTCATGGGTGGAGCGACACTGGCAGAAACTGAGACTGCGGCCCAGAGTGGTCTCAAACCGAGCACGGGCAGCAGCTCTGCAGACCTTTTTGTGCTGCCTGTTCACTAATTCACAAGCCTCATGTCTGGGTGAGAAAATTGATTGATCCCTTGGCTGAGACCAACTGTTACGGACCCTATTCCTGGATAAGCAGAACCAGAACCACACACCATAAATGAGTCAAACCACGCACCATAAATGAGTCAAACCATAGCAAACAGGACCGGGCGAAGCCAGTCCTGACCTTCAGCAACCTCAGGGGTCCCTTTCTGCAGCTGAACAGAGGCAAACCCACCGGCTGCATCGGCAGGGCTGCGGGGGCCGCACCAGGCGCAGGTCATTCCGCCCGTCCCACGGCTCCTCTCCGCAAGGACAGAGTCAGGGGTTTAGCCGGAATGGTGAATTGTGAAATGCCCGTGGCCTGTGGGTAATTTTGCACCGTCACGTAATTAAAAGGTTGAGGTGCCGTCTGCACGTGCTGCCACAACAAATAGATCAGTCTTCAGGTGCGATAGTCCCAGTTTGAGGCAAACCGATGTAGTTGACCTCAGGGACATCCATATTGCCCACAAATAATCTTCCCTTTCCTGGAGCCGTAAGCATTGGCTGTTTCTCTTCAAAAAGTGGTATTTATAAGACTAGTGCAGCTCAGTTAGGTGAAATAAAGCCCTTTCAGTGTGATCCCAGTGCCCCACTGGCAGATGCGCTCAGCACGGCAGTTCCAAAAGCAAGCAGCAAAGAGCGCTCGCCCAGCCTTGTCCCGCAGGCTGTGCCGTGCCAGATCTGACGGGTTGTTTTGATCCACAGGTGGTGGCCATCGATGTGGACATGGCCTTTTTTGAACCCAAAATGCGGGACATCCTCGAACAGAACTGCACGGGAGACGAAGACTGTAATTTTTTTGACTGCTTTTCGAAATGCAATCTGAAAATCAGAAAATGCGGAGCGCAGCGAGCCAATAACAACTTGCAAGTGAGTAGGCCCAGCTGCTTTATGCATCCATTTCTTTGACAATCCCACAGAGTATAAAATGCACGGTATGTGCGAGGAGACAGCGAAGGGAAGACAGTCGGGCTCTCCAACGTGGCCTCCTCGGTGCCAGCCCTGTTCAGACACCCCACGCAAACAGACCTTTCTGTTCACTGGTGTTTATTTGCTGGTTTTGTGGCTGTTAGCCCAACGGCTCAGCTGGGAGAGGGGAGGCAGCAGGGGCTGGGCATTAGCATCCCTCTCTCCACGAATGGTGAAGTTGGGGCTGTCCCCGTGTCAGCAGCGGGGGGCTGCGGCTGCAATTCTCCGCTCGACGCGGATGTAGCAGATGGGGGGGGTCCCTGGGGTTCTTGGCCCCGGGATGAGGTGTCTTAGAGCTCACCCAGCTTCTGCTGGTGGGAGGCAGTAGCGCCGCAGAGAGGCTGGGGGAGTGCAGCTTGGCGGCCTTTTCCCTGCTTCTCCCACCCCCCTCACCCTCAGCGCTTGGGCAGAAGTGCGAGAGCCGTCCGAGAAGGAGGCGGATTCCTCAGCTAGAGCGTGGCCTTTGTGGGTGCTCCTCTTCTATGCCTTCCTCTTCGAAGGGCTGGAGGCATTTGGGATTTAGATGACATTTTGCTACAGTCCTAGAGAAGCAGCGGGGCGTTAGTTGTGGCTCCTGAAAGACAACGATCTGCTCTTTTCCCTTTCCTCAGGTCATTTGTGACAAAATATTCCGGCGCTGGTTTTCCCCAAATCTCAGAGGCCCGTCGGTTTCCTTCCCCGGGCAGCCGGAGCTGCAGAAGGCTGTGCAGGAGTGCGCCGAGCCGGGGCACGGGGACGCTGCCGGGCACCAGAGGACTCTGAAATCTCTCTCCGAGTTGTACCGGCTGCTTCGGGACACTCAGCGAGAACTGCAAAGGGCAGAGTAGACGCAAAAGGCCGAACTGCCTCGGCCGCATCCCAGCCCCGGCGAAGGGAGGCTGCGTGTGAGACTGTCCGGGTTTCCTTTCTCCCTCCCCTCCTGCCCGCTGTGTTCCATTCACAGCACAGAGGTGGTTTTTCTCCCATGCAAATGAAATTCGTGGCTGCGGGTGCGGCACGTCCTGTTAATGCCCTTCCAAGTGTGAAATCGTTTTATGTTACCTGGATTCTGTTCGCGCTTGTTCTCCTGCGCCAGCGCCCCATCAGCATTCAGCGCATCGTGCGCCTCCCCAGAGCCGCCGTCACTGCTCAGACAGCGCCTGTCTGGGTGCGGTGCTCAGGGTGAGGGTGCATTTGCAGAAGAAATGTGTAAGGAAGCGCAGCAAAGCTCGTGTCAGTCACTAAAACAATGGGTGGGTGGGTAAGTGGATAAGCACATGCACGGCGTTTGTGTTAATTTCTCTGTAGAAAGGGTTTTTTTTGTTTCAAGCGGGGACAGAGCGCTCCGTGCAACAAAACAGTCTCAACCAGAGAAATGTCACATGAGTCAAGAGTGGCTTTTGTGCAAAGAGGTCCTTTCTGGTGTCCCCAAATGCCTTTCCTCTGGCGTGTCGCATTACCTGTGCCGCAGCTAACTTTCTGGGGAGAGGTTACACGAAGGTACTTCAGACTTTTCTAGGGCAAAACCATTATACCCTTGTGGAGTTCCCCTGTGGGTACTCATATTCTGCAGAGGAGAGGTATGAATAATGCCACTGAATTTTCCCGTGTGAATAAGCCCTCACGCACTTGTACATCAGAGCAGCTGGTAATAAGAAGCACTCCTCTGCCAGAGAGCAGAATTACCCAGGGATGCCAACAATCTGTCCTTCCCGCTGAACAGAACAATGTCCAGACCCCGAGTGCTCTGCCACAGTATTTTTTCAATGAACAAAAGGAATTTTTTCATAAGAATTCATTATCTTGCAAGCAGTTACGTAAATAAAGATCCCTAGATTAACTTACCGTCGTTACCTTTCAACCGTGTGGTTGGTAACAGACCTCAACACGGGGCTCCAGAAGGCATCGCGTGTGCTTATGGCCAGTGCCGGGCGATGCCCCCGCGAGCTGGTTTTGGCGTGAAGGCATTAAAAGCCCCACAAACAGAAAAACCAGCAGCCTGGGACAGCCCTCAGCTCCGGAGGACTCTTCAGCGTTCAGGCTGACAGTACTGGTTTGCGGGTGCGAGACACGTAACAGCACCTCATCTTTTTTGCCTTGATACCCCTCAGCCTTAGGACAGCCCTGAAGCCTGCGAGCACTAATTATACATGAACTTTCCCTTTCTGGAGTGGTTCTTTAAAGTGATGTCAAAGATTGCTGGTGACCAGAAGTTTGTGAGCTGCTGAGGAGACCAACACTTACCCGAAACTAGTTCAAAATTTCAGACTAGTGCTTGTTTGTTTGGGGTTTTTTTTCTATTTCTTGCAATAAACTACCATAATGTTAAAAATCACACAAGCCCCTCGAGAAGCGGATAGCGAAGGCAGGGTTGGCTGCCTCGCCTGGGGCTGTGCTGAAGACAAGCTGCTGCTGAGCCAGAGCTACAGCCTAGGAGCTCCTGGGTGGTCAAGTTGAGCTCAGTCCACACTTCCCCTCTAGTCAGGGAGACTGATGATGTTTCAATACTTTAAGACCAGCCTTTGCAAAAGCAGGAAGGCAAAGCAGAATACGAAGAAACCCCAAATTCCACAACAAGCCCTGTTACAAAGTCGTGAAATTGATAGAGGAGAAAATAAAGGGCAGAATCAGATTATGGTGAAGGGCTGGGGGCGGATGAAGTATCAGGTAGGGAGAAGATGAGGAAAAAGAGATGGAGGAGAAACAGGAAAAACGAAGTAAAAAACACAGCCCACTTTGCGAAAACATGATTTTTGGCTAAGATTGACTAAACTGGCGTTTAGTCTGAGGAAGAGGAGACTGCAGAGAAGCACGGTAACACTTCAGAAAGAGGCTGATAAAAAGAGAACAGGAGGGAGCTGCCCTGTCGAGATCTCCTTGGTGGATATGACGAGCAGTGAGCTGAAATCCTAGCAAGGACAATTGAGGCTGGACATTTGTTACAGGCTTTCTAGTAGTAAGGGACGGTGGAGCTATGGCACAGATCATTTGGGAAAACTTCCATCTTCATAACGTGTAATTTTTAACTACAGGCAACAGCGAGTGCCTGTCAGGACCAAAGTACATGCAGTTACGTCGGTGATCCTGCCTTTTCTCTCCAAATCCTGTGATTCTGCTGTTATCAGGATGTCTGTGCTCTTGCCACCCCCTCGCGGCAAAATCCACCCTTCTGAGCCAGGGGGATCGGTAACGCTCCTTCACCTGGTACGTGCAAATCCGTGGGGTCCCCCGGGGAGGGAAGGCGCTGAGACCTCCGGCTGTGCAAACGATGCTGCAGAGCCTGGTGGTGTGGTCAGGGGTGGCGTGTTCCCCACACGACCTCCCTGCTGAGGGCACTGGTCCTCGCTACGTCTGGAGGGACTCCGTGCGTACCCCAAATCCTGCTGGGCAACCTGAAGATCTTACACATTATCGCTCTCCTGTTTCCCATTAATTCCTTCCTCCTTCCCAAGCCCGGAGGGTACCGTCAGGGAGAAGCAACCATCACGCAGACGCTCGGGGCTCAGCCAGCTCACGGTGACGTTTCAAACAGGCCGAATTCCTGTTGGATGTGACGCTGCGGTTTCAAAATGGGTGGAAAAAACCAGAGCGCAATGAAACCCGGTGGCAGCCAAACGCTGGCGGAATGTCACTGTGCTCAGAAGGTCCTTCTCCTTGGCAGGATTTCGGAAGGGAAGCTGCCTTTGACAGATTTCTGCCCCAGGGCCTGGCTGCAGCCACCTCCACCTGGCAGGGACCTGCTTCCCCCCACACCACGCGCTTTCCCAGGTCATTAGGTTTCTCTTGGTCTTTTCAGGATCGAGGGAATAATCCTCAGAAAGCTCTCAAGTGCGACACAAACGGGTCATTTGTACTTGGCTGGGCTGCGAGCGTGCGTATCGCTGACGCAGCCGGCTTTGGTACACCTTCAGCGGCGAGCGGAAAGGCGAGGACAAGCTGAGAGGCTGCGTGAACGCAGGGCTGGGCTCCTCACTGCCCCCCGTGTGCCTTGGAAAGTCACTCACACCTGGGAAACGGGAGAGGAAAAATGCTGTGGGTGAGGGAAATGGAATATTTCGATTTATTTAGCACAGGCATCAATGA